GAGTCGCTGCTTGACGGGTTTTTTGAGGGGGTCGACATTGAGCTTATGTTCCATGACTTCTGGATTGATTCCTGTTAGTTCCTCTGGAGAGAAAGCAAAGACGTCTCTAAATTCCCTCAACAGTTCAACCAGTTGCCCCCTCAACTCGTCCTCCAATTCTTTCCCGACCTTAGTGGTTTGATCCTCCCCTTCTCCGATCTGAATTTCCATCAGCTCTCCATGTGGTTCGAGATCGTTTCCCCTCGGCCTTTTTTCATTCGATCCCAGCTTCTTTCCTTCTTTTGGCTCCGTTCGCTGGTTCGTTCTTACCGCTATCTGGTAACACGCCCTGGATAGTTTTTGATCTCCTCGAGCTTCTCCCACCCGGTCTCCGACTGGAAATTTTAACTTCATATGGTAAGTCGACACCACAGCTTGGAAAGTATTCAGTGCTGGTCTTCCAAGGATCACATTATAAGCTGACTCGACATCGACTACCACAAACCTTATCATCTTCACCTTTCTCAAGTCTCCTTCTCCTAAGACGACAGCAAGCGTGGTTTCACCCAAGGGCACAACCTCCGAGCCATTAAAACCGAAAAGAGACGTGTGCAAGGGTGCCAGTTCGATGTCGAGGTCCATCCTTTTGAGACAATCGTAAAAGATCACGTTTACTGAGCTTCCAGTGTCGAAAAAAACCCTTTGCACCTCATACCCCGACACCTGGGCGGTTATCATTAGAGCATCGTTGTGAGGCCTCTCGACCTCTCCTCCGTCCGCTGGCCCAAAGTTCATTACCGGACCCCCTTCATCGACTTGGTGTATCTCGACTTTGGCATGGTTCCCTCGGGAGTATGCTTTTCATGCTCGGTTTGAATCTCCGTCGGTCGGCCCGCCAAAAATCATGTGAATTATCCCTTTTTTCAAGGGAAGCTCGTCCTTTTATGGTGACCTTGTCCTCTTTCGAGGACTCTTACTCCTTTCTTTCCTTCGGCTTGTCCTTTCCCGATCTTTGTATATGAATTCTTTCAAGTGGCCGGCCTTGATTAACCTTTTTATCTCGTCCTTGAGGTGTCTGCAATCGTCGGTGTTATGCCCGTAGTCCTTGTGGAATCGACAGTATAGGTTGCTTTTAGGCCTCGTTGGTCCCTCATTCCTCGTTTTAGGCCATCTTACCACATGGTCGCGAATCTCCCTCTCCATTACTTCCAAGATCCTAGCCTGTGGAGCCATCAGGGGGGTGTAATGAGTCGGCCTCCAACCTCTGGGCCGTCCCTCCCTTTCTGCTCGCGGGGACCCCTTTCTCTCCCCGGTCGAGGAGATTCTCTTTTCTTTTCTTTCGTCCCGAGGGTCTGTTTTTATCGTTTTAGATGCCTGTGAGAAGTCAGCCTCTGCCTCTTCGACGTTCATGTATTTTGCACACCTTCCAAGCACCTCATCAAACGTCCTGCCCGGGCGTTTGGCTAGAGAGTTCCTACACAGACCTGGCAACAGCCCTCGGGTCAAGCCCCCCGCCTTTATCTCTTCTGATGCTCTGGGCACCTCGACGCAGGCTCGGGTGTATCTTGCCACATAGTCCCGTAATGACTCGCCGTCTCTCTGTTGTATGCCCATCAATGTTAAATACGACTTCTCTTGTGGCCGGACACTAGCAAATTGATTGAGAAAACTCGAGCTGAATCCCTCGAAATCCTTGATAGCCCTTGCTGGTAACTGGTGGAACCAATCCTGAGCAGAACCTCGCAAAGTTGTCAGGAAAGCTCGACATTGCACGGGGTCATTATAACGATGCAAAACCGCCATGTTCTCGAAACTCCTCATGTGACGCGACGGATCGGTCGACCCGTCATAACTTATGTTCAGATCACGAAATCCTTGTGGTAGGTCGGCATCCAAGATGTGCTGCGAGAACGGGTGTCCCCTCGAGCCTCCAATTTTCCTCCCTTCGACTCGGGCCTGTAAATCACGAACCTGGGCCAATAACTGCTCCAGCGTTTCGTCTCTTGCCTGCGGGTTGGCAGTCCTTACGGAGGACGCCTCCTCCTCCACCCTTCTGACCTGCCTATCATTGGACTGAGCTTGTTGCTCGTGATCATGGGGTAGTGGCTCAACCCTGCGCTGCTCGATCCTAGGCTGCTCGATCCTGGGCTGCTCGGGCCTGGGGTTCTCGACTTGTGCCTGCTCGAGGCGGGCTGCCACCGCTTCCTCTATCATTCTTTGCATTTCACCCCTCGTCACGGTCATCATCTGCTCCTCAACCTGGGGTGGTGGCATCGTCACTTGTTCCAGCACTCTAGATTGCTTTCCCAGGCTCAGAGTCGTTTCTGTGGACTCGCGGCCGTCGGCTCTCGTGTTCGTGCCCTTCATTTGACTAGATTCTCCTGGTGTTATCCCCGGAATCTTTACCCCGGGGGGTGTGGTGGGTTTTTCTTCCTCAACACGCACCCCCGACGGCGCGTGTCCCCCAAAAGGTGGAAAACCGAGAACCTGAAGCGGTGGTCTAGGGCCGGGAATTAACGGCGGCCGCTTGTCCGTCCAAGCTGCCCTGAAATCCTCGTTTAGATTCCTCGATAATCCTTCTTTCTCCGCCATGTCAAACAGATCGGAACTAGGTGTGAAGCTCTTACTTCCTTCAAGAACTCCCCACAGACGGCGCCAATTTGATGGGTCTCCTCCTAGATCCGGAGTAAACCAGTGGGAATGAGCTCCGGTCTGTTCGAATCGCCTCCAAGTCGCTCGTAGACCGCAGCGAACACCTGCAAGAACTCAACACCGGAAATGCTTTCCGGTGAAGAGCCTCCGACGCTCAAGTCAGTAAGTGAAGAGAGAGAGAGAGAGAGAGCTCTGCTCAGGGGGAGCAGCAGCTGAGTACTGAATG